GAAGCCTTATGAAATCTGATTAATTTTTGATGAGCGTTTCTTTGAAAATTATTGGAGAATAAGGAATTAGTTTTTGACGTTATACATTTTTAGTATCTGTCTATATTTCTGAGATGAGGTATTATGTACACTATTTACATTATTTGGACTATTGTCCCTCATCTTTGTCGCCATATTTATCACAATGTTTCAGTTCAACATTCCAGCTACATGAAGAAGGCTGGAGCGTACAATGGCCGAAACATGATAAATATGGCAACAAAGATGGGGACAATAATCCGAATAATGTAAATAGATATACATTTTTTTTTTTTAATCAATTCCCCACCAAGCAACATGATAATACTATTAACACACAAGGGGCTACTGGAAGTGTAAGAGAATGAGAAGCCTTTAGAGGGAACCAGAAACCAAATCCAGAATAAATATCAGAGTTTAGGCAGGGAAGTCTGCATTTGAAATAGACTTTAGAAGGATAAACCTCTATTCCTGTAAAAAAAAAAAAAAAAAAAAAAAAAAAAATGGCTAGGAGTGTGAACCAGACAGTAGACTTGGATATCTATTCCTACTGAGGGAAAATAAATAAATAGTAAATAAAATGTCAGAGTTTAGGCAGAGATGTTAGAAGTCTAGATTTGAAGTAGAATTATCTGTTTCAATTAAGATCTTTTTTTTTTTTCTCTCTACATCGAAACCTGTTGGCCAGATGTGAATGCTTAGAAAACAAAACTAAAAATAAATTTACTCTTTGTGCAGGTGCCCCAACGATCACATCCTCCTCAAAAAACAAATCCACTCAAAAAAAAAAATACAATATAAAATGAGCCAATAAGGAACATTGCCACTAAAGCAAAAGGCGTTACAAAGCATGCAAAGTCATGATTTACCCTGCTTTTAAGAATACCACTTACAGCACTGTCGGCATTTGAACCAGTGGGTGGGCTGTCACTGTCACCACCAGTCACCTCAGTCAACTAACCAGACACAAGCATTAACTCTAGGCCCCACCAACTCTGTACACCCTCCAGGTCACTTCCCTCGTCCACAAAGAGACATTCTGCCCTGATCCTCTAACTTGGCAATACAAAGAATTTTATCTTAACAATTCTTGTCATCTTTTCTTTCTGCCACAAGCAATACTTGATTACTTTTGTTCTCTTGTGTTGGCTAACATAAGTTTTCTTTATTTCTTTATATATATATATATATATATGTGTGTCTGTGTATATATGTGTGTATTTAGGCATGCCTGATTTAAATAAATTACAAATTGTTTGCTTATTTTTAGCATAATCTGTTCATATTCATGGATATTTTTTCCATGTATTACAATCAAATGATGCAAAAAATGCACTGTAACAGTGAAAATAGCTTTTGTTTCCCCAACTACATTCGATCTTTTTCTGAGATCATCAGGGATGCAACTGGTAAGGCAAAAAACTGTGTGTAGCTATCCAGTACTCAATTTTCTCTTTTTGCATTTAAATGCAACAGCTAACAGTTATGCTTTAGCATTCATTAGAATATGAAAAAATTATCCACTCTGGAATTTTTCCTTTTACATTGGAATGTCATGGTTAAGTGTGCATTAAAGTGTGTAAACTGTTCTTTTTTAATAGGCATTTTAGAACATTATTACTGTATTCATAGCTGATTTTATTCAGTGTCGGCTTCAGTGTAGATTGCTTCAAGGATCTGTAGTTTTAATTTGTTATTTTCTTAGTGTAGGATAGTTGTGTTATCAATCAGTATTTTTCTATACTGTGAATGTGGACAGGAATGTTGGTGCAAATGTCATACATACATATATATGTCCTGGTGGTGTAATTGCAAAGAAAATTCCAGCCCAGTTTGTTACATCCACTTTTGAACTAATACATTTTGGAAGAGTATATATTCCCCTCCAATTATATATTAAACAAAATGGACAATGGTCTGTAACTCTAGGAGAAAAACAAATCTGATTTTGAACCTGAGGAAGGGTGTTTGTTGACTTTGTGGGTCTCTCTAATATCATTTCCAAAAAGTATAAACGGTTCTATACAAACCTTCACCAACATAATAAAATCATATATGGGAAGTCGAAAAACTGAATTGTTAGGCCCTCATATGTTGAACTTGATGGGAATGTACACTATACATACACACACACACACATACATGCACACAGCAGTTGTCATACCTGGACAAGTGTTTTGAGGTCAAAGGATAATTATGTTTGTCTCACTAAGGAACTAATCTTCATTATTGATCACTGTTGATAAATGGCCATAAAATGAAGCGTTACAATGAAAAGCCACTGAAATTAAGATGTCAGAAATTAATAATAGTTGATAATGCTTCAGCTAATAAAGATTTAAGATAAATAATCCTATTATGATTCTGCTTGTTCCTTAATTAGCATGACGATTATGCCCTGTCACTACGTCATAAACAATGGACGAGTTTTTTTTTGTTTTTTTTTTATCATGGGAGAAAGACAAACAAAGACATGTAAAAGATGCTACTTGGTTTCAATGAAAGAAAGAAAAGAAGTTATTGTTGTAGCATACCTATAGATGATAATGGGTGTGCCCTCATTCCCATAAATACAGTAGTAAATACTGTATGTTGGTCTGCAGTTGTAGATTCAATGTGGAATTCATTTGAATCACTTCTAGCAGTTGACTACTTTTTCTATGCACCACTGGTGAATCTTGTATGTGTTGTTCTTGTCCTAAGTATTATCGTTCATTACTAACCTTTGTTTGATTATTCTATTCAGTAACCTTCCCTAGGTTACAACAGCTATAATATTCTGATATTTTAAATCTGCTTCAGTGAAATGGAAAATTTGTCTCTCTTAATGTTTTTCATTTGTACCCTCTTACTTCTTCACATAATGACCTGCATTTACTCTTGAATGCTATTACAATATTTGGTTAAAGTTGTTAAGCTCAAATATTTAATGATGCAATAAGGATCTTCAAGAATATTTTTAAGTTGTGGATTTCACAATGAGCTCATTTATTCATTAAATATTACGATTGATCAAAAAATTAAAATAGAAAAACTCTGCACAGAAGTTATTTTTGCATATTTATAATTTTATCCTTTCCTCCATGAATTGTTGCCGTATCTGATCTGGTTCTTCTGCTATGTATGTAGAGATTTTTGATAAAATACCCAAATCTGCAATATTATTGATCCTGATCTGGCATCTTGGCTTCAGTCACTTTCCCACTGCTTTAATGTGCCTTTTCTATAAGTTTTTATTATAACAATTGTTCTGATGTGCTTTCTCCTTTGGTGCCTTAACTTCACAAATTTAAGCACAGTACTAGATTGGCAGATAGGTCTCATCATTTTACAGTTGAAATTGCTAGATTTAAGTTCTATGTAGATAGTTTCTTCTCTCATACATGCTTGTTGAACTCTCATCCAGCTTTTTGCTTTCAAGTTGGATTTGATCTTCAAAAATTTAAATGCAAGAAAAGTATGCTTTTTAATAGGCTTAAGGAGTACCCCCTAGTGACTTGCCACATGTGACAATATCTTATAGACAGTGTTTTAAAAGAGAATAGAGAAACAAGTGTATGCTTTTTAATAGGCTTAAGGAGTACCCTCTAGTGACTTTTTTCTTTTTTTTTTTTTTTTCAAATGTCAAATGGGATAACTCATAAAATCTTCTTTCATTCATCCAAGCACACCTTTGACTTGTCAACACTTTAGGAAATGGTAAAAGCTTTCATCATTAACACATGACTTGCTGAAGAGAAGGCAATGTTGTAGTGCATGGCTTCCATCCTTATGACTTTTATGATCTAAATGCTGTGCATGTAAGTTCTACGTAGATAGTTTCTTCTCTCTTACATGCTTGTTGAGCTCTCTTCCAGCCTTTTGCTTTCAAGTCAGATTTGACCTTCAAAAATTTAAATGCGATGTCAATAGTTATCTTTTGTCTTCATAATTCCTGTTCTTTTATTGTTCTGTTTCTTTCATTCTCAGTAACCCCTTGAATCTTAATGGCTTTTATTGCTTTCCTTGGGACATGTGAGAAATAAAAAAATAAATTTATAGGGTTAGATTAGATCTTCCTTCCATGAAACTGTTATTATTCAATTGGTTAGAGTAGCTCTCTGAGGTAAAAGATGTGAGGTTGAGTCTCACCAACAACTTGCTCAGTATTTTTGATTGAATTAGAATGATGGTTTTGAGTCATTGCAATAAAAACAACTGAAATTAAGATGTAAGAAAAATGTTAATTAATAAAGGTACTCTTATAGCATATACCTGGTATTGTCAATTCTATCGTTATTTTCATGGTGAACTTTCTAATGGGTTACATTCCTTTAGTTCCACCAGTTTAGACATCCACAGCTAGGATGTACCATGTCGCATGTAAAAGATTGAATCATCCTCATTCCCTTCATATTCCATTGGTAAGGACGATGTGTTCCACTTAGATCTTCTTCCTCAAAACTTTGTGGAACAAACTTATCTGATTGCTATGATCTTAACCTCTTGAAGTCTAGCAGCAATTGCGATTTATCCTACATATCCCCACTATATACGCTTCTTACTTCCTCCCTTTGTCTTTACAATCTTATTCAGTAACCCTCTACCTTGAGTGGCTCTTAGGTCTTGTAATTGAATAAACAATAATTAAAAAAGTATCTTTTTCAGGACATCCTATTTCATATCCTCTATACAGGCAGAGGATAAGATGGCAAAACAATTAAACTCTTAAAATAAATGCAAGAGTTTTTTCTTTGCCAAAAGACCAGATGAACTTCAAAATTATTTCTATACTGTTGGTCAAAAAGTCCATGGCAAATATCTATTAGACTTTGTTTGAATGTTGTATGCACAATCTGTCTCTTGTAAATTGCCTTTTATGATTGAAATAGACATTTTAAATAGAAGCAATTGATAGACAGCTGATATCTCCTCAGTTTTCACTCATTATCAGACTTACTTTCTTGTCTGTCTGCGTATTTTTCTTGCTTAACTAATAAACTATGCTCCTTGATGCTGCTGCTTCCTCCCTGTCCCTGACGTTGCCGCTTCTTCCTCTGCGACTTTGCTGCTGCTCCCTCCTTAACGCTGCCTCCAACCCTCCTCAACGCTGCTGCCGCCACCACCACCATCTTCGACGTTGTTGCTGCTGCCACCCTTCCCTCAACACTCCTGCTGCCACCATCACCATCTTCAACATTGCCGCTGCCTCCACTGCCACCATTCCCTCCACAATGCTGCCTCTACCCATCATCAATGCTGAAGCTGCCACCACCACCACCACCATCATCTTCAACGTTGTCGTTGTCGCAACCCTTCCCTCAACACTCCTGCTGCCACCATCACCATCTTCAACATTGCCGCTGCCTCCACTGACACTGCTCCCTCCACAACGCTGCCTCCACCCTTCCTCAATGCTGCTGCTGCCATCACCACCACCACCATCTTCAACGTTGCTTCTGCCTCTGCTCCCTCCAAAACTTTGTCACTGCCCCCGCTCCCTCCTCAATGCTGCCCCCATCACCCCGCAGTGTTCCTCTGCGCTCTTCCCAACGTTAATTTTCTTCTCTGCAAGACTTTACGATTACAAAGCAAATGTTGAATGGGACAAAATGAAGAAGTTCTTTTAATTTTGAAACTCTATTTAAAATTGTAAAGAATGAAGCTGAAAGACAAAAAAAAAAAATCTTGGATCAACTCCAGTTGAGTTTTACTGATTTCCTTATCGTAGAAAAGCAGTTCTTAAACAAAATCAAGTCTTATCTTGTTTGTCCAAAATCATTGTCTGCCTTCCATATTCAAGCTTGATTAGCTTCTTCTTAAAATAAAATGAAAAGCAAATTTGATTGAGATACTTTAACAAAAATTTTTTCATCTTCATTGTTTACCTTGTAGAGGAGTTTTAACATTGAATGTGGATTCAAATGTAGTTCAAATATGAATCGGAATCCGACAGGAGGATAAGATATAGAATAAGTAAAAGAGTATACACTCCAGTCTTTATTGTATTTTATTGTATTTTTTTATATAGATCTGTGTAATGAGTGTCCAGGTAATTTAGTTAGAAAATACAAGAAATTTTGTGGGGTTTCTTAGCTCAGATTTTTGAGTATTAAGAGATAAATGTTACTATTATGGCCTGAAAAAGATGAAATTTTCATTGACTCATGTGTTAACGACCTGTCCGTGTGAACTGCTTGTCCGATAGTGAGAATGTCATGTGTTTGTGTGTATGTAGAGAAAAGTGGGGTTGATTCTCATTGGTTTGTGATTGATTTAATGATAATTATAATATAATTATTTTTGACACTACAATTATTTTTTTAATATAGATCTGTGTAATGTGTCCAGATAATTTAGTTAGAAAATACAAGAAATATTGGGGGTTTCTTAGCTCGAATTTTTGCGTATTAAGAGATAAATGTTGCTATTATGGCCTGAAAAAGGAAAAGGAGATTAAGTTTTTGTTGACATACATTTTCACGGCCTGTTTGTGTGAACTGCTTGTCCAGTGAGAATGTTACGTATTTGTGTGTGTAGAAGAGAAAATTGGGATTGATTCTCATTGCTTTAGAATGAGTGAATTAATGATAATTATAATTGTTATTTTATTATAATTATTTTTGATGCTATAATTAATTTTTTTTTTTTATTGACGCAACAGCTTCAATGTTTATTGCTTTCACTAAAAATAACAACTATTTAACTTTGACTTTATACTTGAGCTGAACTGACCAATTTACTTTCAGCTTTCTCCATATCTCTAATGTTCATTCCAAAATAAATTGTCCAAAAAAATTCTACTTAACAAAGATGTGAAGGGTACTAATAACTTTATTTACTTACTTTTTTTTTTATCTTTTTTCTTTTATTGTAATATTGTACACACCTACAACTTAATGTTTTGAACAACTTAAGAGATATTCACTAATTTACCTCAGCTGTGAATCACTTAAAGCACTTCAAGTGTTCATTTTTATTACTACTTGTCATAGTTTTGTATGTGTACATATAATAATAGCTGGACGTTTATTTCCGATTATGCCTGTTTGCTAGGGCGGCTAGCCAATCCCTGTGGCAGATGCCTGCTCTGGCACATTTGTGCTTGTTCAATACCCACAGAATTGACCTGTGGTTAATACTGCAACCATGCTGAATAGATCTTATACTTTCTAGGAGGGAGGGCATTGTCTAGCGTGATCAACAGTTTGAACATGCCAGTTTGCTCAATTCCTCGGTCATGGTGATTTCTGACTTTGTGCTAGCACAATCATTAGTGAACAATTCTGTCTACCCAATTTCACCCACAAAGTTCGTCAGAACTTGTGACATGGTTTTTCAATGAATCTGTATCTCGTAGTACTTACATTGGTACTTACCTCTTGTTTATGAATGTCTGGTAAAATTTACTTTGTTTCACACTGTAACACTTGTCAATGAGAACTTTGCTGTAATATGAGAAATACTACTGAAAATTTAGGTCACTTACCAATGGAAATAAAGTTACTTTATTTTCACTGTCTCTGAAGTCATCAACTTCAGTGCATACTACATTCAATTCTCACATGCCGTTCAAATTTTTAGAGGCTTGTCTACCGTTTGCCAGGCACATGATCCTGGAGGAGGACAGTGAGTTGAATAAAACAATTGACTAAATGGGATTTATAAACCTTTTGTGGGAGTGCAAATGATATTAGGCCTTGTTCTGGGTTTTGTTATTTTTATCTAGGGATTTTAACATTGTATGCAAACATAAAATGTGAACAGTCTTTGGTGTGTATGCAAAAAAAATATAACATTTTTTAAATGATTGATTTTTTTTTTGTTTATTAAATATACATAAGTGATTCATATTATTCACAGAACACACACACACACACATTTAATCAACCATTCGCCCTTGCATGGAGTATTGCTGCCATATATGGTCTGGGGCACCTTCTGTTTACCTCGGAGTTCTTGACAAGATCCAGAGATGGATATGTAATATAATTGGCCCTGATCTGGCATCTCGTCTACAGTCACTCTCTCACAGACGCGCCGTCGCCTCTCTGTCTTTTCTACAAATACTTTCATGGTAATTGCTCCGATGAGCTGCTTTTACTGGTTCCCAGACTCCATGAATTCAAGCGCCCTACGAGGCTGACATCCCACTCCCACCCTTACACTGTAGAAACTTTTAAATGTAGCCGTCTCTTCTACTCCAATAGCTTCATACCTCGCACCTCTCGCCTGTGGAACACCCTTCGCAATTACTGTTTCCCTGAGAGCTATAATCTCCAACTATTCAAATGTAATGTCAATCGACACCTCCAGTTACCTTGATCTACCCACTATCCCTCTCCTCATCCTTTCTTTTAACACTCCTATCTGCTCTTGCTCCAAATCTTCTGCAACCCTGCATCCTAGTGGCTTCACACCTTGCTCGGGGCGTAATGCTTAAAAAAAAAAATATATATACATATTTTTTTTAAGCATATATATATATATTTTTATATATATATATATATATATATATATATATATATATATATATATATAAAGCCATTGCCACCCTATTGGGCGGCATTTAAGCGATCTCCTGCAGGGCTCTTGATTGAGCCTTCATCACAATAGGTAGGGAAGAGTAGATGCAACAATAAACTACAGAAGAACTCAAAACTGATCCCTGCATTTAAGTATTGCATTAATATTTAAGCTTACCTTTTAAAAGTTCAATGCCACTTAATTTAAAGACAATTTGATGTATGTAGGTCCTTACTTTCTGTACAAACAATTATTCTTATTTCATGGATGACTTTCACTGGATTTCACAATTAATTTCAATTACTCCCAAATTTGTTTCCAAATTATAAAAATTGTTATAAAAAATATCACTGAAAACAATAGCAGTAATGAAAATTTTGGAATCCAAAATTTCAGGACTGCATGTCCAGATCAGGCACAGAATGATTTTAATTTGCTCATGGAGTTGGCCTGATTTCAAACTGGTATAAAAAATTGATACACACTGTCACATTTATTTTATATATATATATATATATATATATATATATATATATATATATATATATATATAGTGTGTGTGTGTATTTAGGCAGCATCTTTTCATTCATACATGTTTCATTAAATAATATAGACAACTTATTAGACGTTATGAAAAGAATTTACATAAAATAAATAGACAACACTTGTCTATATTATTTAATGAAACGTGTATGAAATCTGTCTCTCTCTCTCTCTCTCACACATATATATATATATATATATATATATGTATAGGAGGCACGGTGGAGTAATGGATAGCGGCTTGGATTGAGGAATTGCAGAGCTGAGTTCGAATTCCAGTCGAATCCATTACATTCACTTACGTGCTAATACCCTTGGGAAAGGTATGAATCCTCTTCCTCTCCCTCCAGCTATGGGTAAAATAGCAGGACAGACTGGGTTCTGTAGCCTTGGATGGCAACTGGTCTAGGAGAAGGACAACTCTGAATTCAAAACCTGTGGAGGGTCATTTGGGAACCTTGTGGCATTCGGTGCACCAGGTCTCTGTATTCGTCCCTTCAAATAGTGTGGATGGCCCTTCACCACTATAATCAAATCTCATGTGCCAGTGTCGGGCTGTCGGTTTCCTGGAAACTGATCTGCTTGACCCTCATATGTCGAATCTCAACGGGAGAGTCGATTTTTTATATATATATATATATATATATATATATATATATATATATATATATAGAGAGAGAGAGAGAAACAAACTTTGTATTTTTATGGCAAAACTTTCTAGTGCATTATGGGTATTCTGCTTCCCATCCTTTACTATAACCTAACAAATCGGGGGATGCAATTGTTGAAATAGTATGGGCACAAGCTCATAAGAGCCAACAATCTTTCCACTGTCATCTGACAAGGTTCCACCTTAGGTAAAAAAAAAGGGGGGCGGTGGTTAGAGGAAAAAAAGGGTTTGACAATGTCAGTAAGTGAAATACATTATTTATACATGGCTTGTCATTGGATCATTGTAGGATTTGTAAAAATTATTATGAGCAGACAGACACACACACACACACTGGTTTGGGGAGACCGTGTAATCTACTAGGGTGGCTAGCCAATTCCTGTTGTGGATGCCTATTTATGAGCATTTAAAAATTTTGCAAAACTCTGACATTTTTACAGTTTATAACTTGCTTTTATTTTGGTTTTTGTCTTTTATCCTGTGACCCATAGGGTTGTAGGTGCACCATTTGTACCGCAGTTGCAGTTGAAGTGGTGTTCCTTGGGCAAGATAGCCTGATGGAGTCAAACCCTCTCCAGGTTCGTTTTGAATTCAGTTTTTTCTTCTCCTAGACCGGTTGCCATCCAAGGCAAAGAAAATTTTAGAACGAGAATTTTTTTCCTTTCTTCCTTTTTTTTTTTTCCTTTTTTTCCTTTTTCCTTTTTTTTCCTTTCTTCCTTTTTTTCCTTTCTTCCTTTTTTTTTCCTTTCTTCTTTTTTTCCTTTTTCTTCCTTTTTTTCCTTTCTTCCTTTTTTTTTCCTTTCTTCCTTTTTTTTTCCTTTCTTCCTTTTTTTTCCTTTCTTCCTTTTTTTTTTCTTCCTTTTTCCTTTTTTTTTTCCTTTCTTCCTTTTTTTTTCCTTTCTTCCTTTTTTTCCTTTCTTCCTTTTTTTTTTCCTTTTTCCTTTTTTTCCTTTCTTCCTTTTTTTTTTTTTCTTCCTTTTTTCCTTTCTTCCTTTTTTTCCTTTTTTTTTTTCCTTTCTTCCTTTTTTTCCTTTTTTCTTCCTTTTTTTCCTTTCTTCCTTTTTTTTTCCTTTCTTCCTTTTTTCCTTTCTTCCTTTTTTTTTCCTTTCTTCCTTTTTTTTCCTTTCTTCCTTTTTTTTTTTTTTTCTTCCTTTTTTCCTTTCTTCCTTTTTTTCCTTTCTTCCTTTTTTTTTTTTCTTCCTTTTTTTTTTCTTTCTTCCTTTTTTTTTTTTCTTCCTTTTTTTTTTCCTTTCTTCCTTTTTTTCCTTTCTTCCTTTTTTTCCTTTCTTCCTTTTTTCCTTTTTCCTTTTTTCCTTTCTTCCTTTTTTTTCCTTTCTTCCTTTTTTTCCTTTCTTTTTTTTTTTTCTTCCTTTTTTCCTTTCTTCCTTTTTTCCTTTCTTCCTTTTTTTTTCCTTTCTTCCTTTTTTTTCCTTTCTTCCTTTTTTTTTCCTTTCTTCCTTTTTTTTCCTTTCTTCCTTTTTTTCCTTTCTTCCTTTTTTCCTTTCTTCCTTTTTTTTCCTTTCTTCCTTTTTCCTTTCTTCCTTTTTTTCCTTTCTTCCTTTTTTCCTTTCTTCCTTTTTTTCCTTTCTTCCTTTTTTTTTCCTTTCTTCCTTTTTTCCTTTCTTCCTTTTTTTCCTTTCTTCCTTTTTTTTTTTCCTTTCTTCCTTTTTTCCTTTCTTCCTTTTTTTCCTTTCTTCCTTTTTTTTTCCTTTCTTCCTTTTTTTTCCTTTCTTTTTTTTTTTCCTTTCTTCCTTTTTTTCCTTTCTTCCTTTTTTTTCCTTTCTTCCTTTTTTTTCCTTTCTTCCTTTTTTTTCCTTTCTTCCTTTTTTTTCCTTTCTTCCTTTTTTTTCCTTTCTTCCTTTTTTTTCCTTTCTTCCTTTTTTTTCCTTTCTTCCTTTTTTTTCCTTTCTTCCTTTTTTTTCCTTTCTTCCTTTTTTTTCCTTTCTTCCTTTTTTTTCCTTTCTTCCTTTTTTCCTTTCTTCCTTTTTTTTTCCTTTCTTCCTTTTTTCCTTTCTTCCTTTTTTTTTCTTTCTTCCTTTTTTTCCTTTCTTCCTTTTTTTCCTTTCTTCCTTTTTTCCTTTCTTCCTTTTTTTTCCTTTCTTCCTTTTTTTCCTTTCTTCCTTTTTTTTCTTTTCTTCCTTTTTTTTTCCTTTCTTCCTTTTTTCCTTTCTTCCTTTTTTTCCTTTCTTCTTTTTCTTTTTTTTTCCTTTCTTCCTTTTTTTCCTTTCTTCCTTTTTTTTTTTTCTTCCTTTTTTTTTCTTTTCTTCCTTTTTTCCTTTCTTCCTTTTTTTTTCTTTCTTTTTTTTTTTCCTTTTTTTTTTTCTTTTTTTTTTTTTTTTCCTTTTTTTTTTCTTTCTTTTTTTTTTTTTCTTCCTTTTTTTTTTTCTTCCTTTTTTTTTTTCCTTTCTTTTTTTTTTTTTTTTTTTTTTTTTTTTTCTTTCTTTTTTTTTTTTTTTTTTCCTTCTTTCCAAGTGATCAAAATGAAGTAACCAATTATTTACGAGATATTAGTAGAGGGTGTAACAGTCACATGAACTATCAAAGGGAGGGAGAAGCATAATTATAATCGGATATTTTCACTTTGGGGATTTATTGTAATTAAATCAATGCAGATTTCAATGCTGTTTTGACATCTTTTTAACGATCAACAGGATTGGGATGTCACTTTTGCTATAAAATATATAAATTACCCAATTTACTATAACAATTAGTCTATGTAATTAGTAAAAATAATTGGTACATTATTTACATTATTTGGAATGTTATCTCCATTGCCATATTCACATCGTTTCGGCCACTGTATGCTTCAGCCTTCTTCAGGTGATTGGAATTTTGAACCAAATCCTTTGTTTCATCCTCTGGGGTAGATTGTTCTACTTCCACGTCTCTTCTGGATGTCTCGGTTATTTCCCTTTAACTCAACCTCCAAGGTGTTTGGTTCACCACTGCTGTAGCCTGGTATTGAACTCACAACTCTTTGGGTCTAGTCACTAGATCTAACCAACGTCTTTATCCTCTGGGCCATGTATCCTTGTGAATATGGCAATGAAGATGAGGATAAGTCCAAATAATGTAAATAATTATACCTTATCTCAGATCTAGGCAGATATTCATTGGTACACATCATTAAAAAAAAAAAAATGTCACCATCTGTCCATGTGGATTTGTACACTTGATGAAGGCCAAAGAATGGCACCAGCCATAATATTAGCAGAAAGGTAGAATTGGTGAGTTAATAGATTAATAATGATTACTTTCAAAATTGCTTAATCTGCCTTATATGGATTGTTAACTATGTTGACTTTTGTGATTCTACCAAGGATTGAACTCAACATCCTTGGCTAACAAATCTCTGAAGATATTAAGTTTACTAAAATTTCTCCTCCATGAACATTTTTTGATTTGTCTGAAGTGCTGTTGATCCAGATCCTGTTTTATCACAAATGATGCTGTAAATAAACATTGAAATATAAATTTTCCTTGTTAATCATATATTATGGACTAGCACTTTGACATGTTGTAATGGTTAACAAGCATGTCTCACTAGATTAATTAGAACTGAATAATAAGTTCAATCCTCACATGGTGCTCCATACTTTCAGCCTTGTGCCACATCTAAGCTACACTTAGAAAATCACCGTATATTGATTAAATATGCTATTTTGGAATTATCTTTATCCACAGGTGTATATGAAAATATTAATCACCTTTTGAAGTTGTGTTGAGTGGAAAATAAAGTGCCTGAGTCATCATTAAAGATAATCTATCATGCTACATATTGACATTTTAATCACCTGTGTGGGTGGATGATAGTTTAGAGAATCTTTAGATAGCTAGGTGTGAACAAACAGCTCCAGGAAAAAATATCTACATTTAGTCATTATTTCTTTTTCATTTTTATTTTTTCAAACTTGGCACATTGACTTTTCATGTATTAACATCCTTGTCCTCATATATATATATATATATATATATATAAAAGACAGACATGTCCTGCTGCAAAGTGGCTACATAGGAAGATCAAGAAACAGAATGAGGATATTATTATCAATCCCCTTTGAGCCTTGAGGGAGGCGCTTCTGGCCAAGTGTGTGGGTTTCTCTGTCATGCAGAGTAGTCAACCAAAATCAAATTCACATGAACGGCCTTGTGAAACTTTCTCTGATTCCCAGCCAATCTCTGTCACCTCCACCAGAGAGGGAGAAAGAGATTAGGGAGCGAGGATGCCGATCCCGATGATCGGATGCAAGTTGGTGCTGATGAGGCTACACATGTATTTATTTATTTTTTAAAAATGAAACTATTTCACAGGTCTCTCTAAACACTGATGCTTTTCTTAAAATGGTAAAATAGGGCAATTATGTCCTTTTTGAAATTTGTCTATCAGTGGAAGCTGATACCACAGAAGGTAAAGTTGTGACAGGAAATGCTTGTTGTATTTACATAGAAAACGTGTATCCTGGTATTATTTTTTCCCATAGCAACTATTGTGGAGTCAAATACGAGTCCATGTAAAAAAATGAGTACCACAAAACAATATAAAAAAAAATGACAATGCATGTATTTACAAAAGAATGACAATATAGGAAGAAAACATTTAAAGATAAGAGAATGTGATGTATTTGTGTCGGCCTATGTGATAGACACATGTGTAAAAGAGTAAAGTCAAGACAAAAGTACAACCATGAAAATGAATGTGCCTCACTGGGGAACATTTCCCCACCCCACATGTAACAATATCTTATAGACAGTGTTTTAAAAAAGAATAGAGAAACAAGTGTACGCTTTTTAATAGGCTTAAGGAGTACCCCCTAGTGACTTTTTTTTTTTTTTTTTTTTCAAATGTCAAATGGGATAACTCATAAAATCTTCTTTCATTCATCCAAGCACACCTTTGACTTGTCAACAGTTTAGGAAATGGTAAAAGCTTTCATCATTAACACATGACTTGCTCAAGAGAAGGCAATGTTGTAGTGAATGGCTTCCATCCTTATGACTTTTGTAATCTAAATGGTGTGCATGTAAGTTCTACGTAGATAGTTTCTTCTCTCTTACATGCTTGTTGAGCTCTCTTCCAGCCTTTTGCTTTCAAGTCAGATTTGACCTTCAAAAATTTAAATGCGATGTCAATAGTTATCTTTTGTCTTCATAATTCCTGTTCTTTTATTGTTCTGTTTCTTTCATTCTCAGTAACCCCTTAAATCTTAATGGCTTTTATTGCTTTCCTTGGGACATGTGAGAAATAAAAAATAAATTTATAGGGTTAGATTAGATCTTCCTTTCATGAAACTGTTATTATTCAATTGGTTAGAGTAGCTCTCTGAGGTAAAAGATGTGAGGTTGAGTCTCACCAACAACTTGCTCAGTATTTTTGATTGAATTAGAATGATGGTTTTGAGTCATTGCAATAAAAACAACTGAAATTAAGATGCAAGAAAAATGTTAATTAATAAAGGTACTCTTATAGCATATACCTGGTATTGTCAATTCTATCGTTATTTTCATGGTGAACTTTCTAATGAGTTACATTTCTTAGTTCCACCAGTTTAGACATTCTCACCTATGATATACCATGTCGCATCTAAAAGATTGAATCATCCTCATTCCCTTCATATTCCATCGATAATGAATATCAGGGCACCAAGTTCAAATTCCAGTTGAGTTTGTTACATTTACTTATGTACAAAATACCCTTGGAAAAGGTATGAATCAATCTTTTTTTCCTTCCAGTTATGGGTTAAATAGTAGGACAAAACTGGGTTCTATAGCCTTGGTTGGCAATCAGTATATCACAGAAACTCCAACCTACTGCAGGAAAATCTGCCTAGTCAGTTATGAATCAAAACGGACATGATTGCTCTTAACTGAAAGAATCAACTGTGATTAAGGTGAGGAAGTTATGGAGAGACATGATCCACCAAGTGTGCATCACGTATTGCTCTTAACTGAAAGAATCAACTGTGATTAAGGTGAGGAAGTTATGGAGAGACATGATCCACCAAGTGTGCATCACGTATTGCTCTTAACTGAAAGAATCAGCAATGATTTAGGTGAGGAAATTGTGGAGACATGATCACCCAAGTGTGCATCACGTATGACTCTTGACTGAAAGTCAACAGTGATTTAGGTGAGGAAGTTGTGAAAAAACATGATTGCCGAAGCATGTATCACATATGGCACTTAACTGACTGAATCTAAAATATTGTGTGTGTGTGCATGAGATACAAGGGTTAGCTGAAAAGTTCATAGGCTGACCAAGATATAAATGTAAGTTGATGCACAAATTGGTACCTGCTTTGTGAAACTGACTCCCTAGAGGATGCTTCCCCAATCACCACAATCTTAACCTGTTCAAGTCTAGGGTTAACCGTTATCTTCTCTATATATCTGCACAAACTGTCTCTTTCTCTGTAACTGTCTACCTGCTTTGTGAAACTGACTCCCTAGAGGATGCTTCCCCAATCACCACAATCTTAACCTGTTCAAGTCTAGGGTTAACCGTTATCTTCTCTATATATCTGCATAAACTGTCTCTCTTTCTCTGTAACTGTCTACCTGCTTTGTGGAACTGACTCCCTAGAGGATGCTTCCCCAATCACCACAATCTTAACCTGTTCAAGTCTAGGCTTAACCGTTATCTTCTCTATATATCTGCATAAACTGTGTCTCTTACTCTGTAACCTTCTGCCTCAAATGGCTTTCAGGCCTTGTATAGGGTGAACATCACTGGAAAAAATAAAAATAAAAAAAAGTTAATGTTTTAAAACAAAAAGTAATTTTTGAAAAAACAAATTTTGAAGGAGTTTCAGACTGAAAATATTTTGCTGGCTATGAAAGAAATGAAATAACTGACACTTATGGATATTGAATTCTAATGGATATTTACAAGTGTGCAATTTCAAGAAATACTTTTTGTTTTTTTTTGGGGGGGGGAGTTGTTTTGCATCTGAAATTTGTGTGTGTGATGAGCTGAAGTTAGACAAATTTCCTGGGTACTTGCCAAATCCATCTTCACAGAAGAAGGAGCGATTAAGATTTTCTAATCTGTGCATGGATTTAAGTTGCATCAGCAATCTTTCTTCAATGATACACCCATGAAAAGCCATGAGAAGAGGTACATATTTTCTGTTTTGCATACAACTTACAGGAAAGACCATATAAAAATTAAAAATTCAAGAATTTGTCTATGATTATCAGTACCATTATTCATTGTCTTTGTGGAATACATCACTCTCTCCTTCCTCACACATACACGCTCAATATCAGGGATAGAGTGTGGGTCAGTTATGTGCCATGCGTGATACATGCTTAGACGATCATGTACCTTTTGATACATGATTGATGAGGCAAGGTTTATAGAACCTGGTCTGTCCTGCTATTTACCCATAGCTAGGGGAGAGGAGGATTCATATCTTTCCCAAGTGATAAATAAAAAAACAAACAAAAAGGAAATGGACAGTGAGGTCAAGATTGAATGCTGACAGTCTATTTAATACTTGATGGCCTGAAGATTGTGTTCAAGCATGAAATAGACTGTTGATATTCTGTGTCACTTTGTCACACACAAGAGCTCTAAGATGCTTTTGTACTATCGAGGCTAGAAAGTGAGGTACACCATGCTTGGCTAGTCATGTGACCCTTAATGGCCAGTCAATGAAAATAAATTCTATGCTAACAGTTTCTTTTCTTGCACTTCCCGCTTGTGAAACTCCCTTCCGGTTCCATGTTTTCCAGCCAACTTTTATCTGCAAAAATTTAAATGCAATGTTGATCACTATCTACTGTCCTGATTATTATTTTCTCTTCCCACTCATTATCGATGTTTGTATTGCTGATCTTTCCGCAATGAGTAACTCTTTGTGACTTAGTGGTTTTACTGCCTTGTATGGGGTAAAACTTAAAAAAAGAAAAGAAGTCTTTATTTACTCATTCTAAACATTTAGGTAAATATTTGTACTCATGGTAGGTAATACTAAGTTCACACACACACACACACACACACACACATTGAGTTAGCTTGTCAACCACTTGAAAAGAGATCATAAAGTATTATGTTAAATTTTCATGGTTAAATAAACTAAATACTGTTTATCTTTATCTCTCTTCTCTCTCTCTCTATATATATATATATATATATATATATATATATATATATATATATATATATATAATCTCTAACTCTTCTCCCTCAGTTATAGGTTAATTAATAGGACTTGTATCTGTCTATATTTCTGAGATGAGGTATTATGTACACTATTTACATTATTCGGACTATTGTCCTCATCTTTGTTGACATATTTATTACAACGTTTCAGCCCTTCAGTATCTGTCTATATTTCTGAGATGAGGTATTATGTACACTATTTACATTATTCGGACTATTGTCCTCATCTTTGTTGACATATTTATTACAACGTTTCGGCCTTTCAGTATCTGTCTATATTTCTGAGATGAGGTATTATGTACACTATTTACATTATTCGGACTATTGTCCTCATCTTTGTTGACATATTTATTACAACGTTTCGGCCTTTCAGTATCTGTCTATATTTCTGAGATGAGGTATTATGTACACTATTTACATTATTTGGACTATTGTCCTCATCTTTGTCACCATATTTATTACAATGTTTTGGCTGTTGTACACTCCGGCCTTCTTCAGGTGGTTGGAATGTTGAACTGAACCCTTTATTTCACTCACTGAGGTAGACTGTTCTAGTTCCACGTGCCATGTTTAATGGATGTCACTTACCAGTTATCTCCTGTTAATTTTCCTCTGAAAGTTCTCCACTGCCTTAACCGGGTATTGAACTCACACTCTTTGGGTCCTGTCACTGGATCTAACCAATGCCTTTATCCACTGTGCCATGTATCCTTGAGGACTCATGACACAGTAGATAAAGGCGTTGGTAGTGGAGAACTTGGAGAGGGGAATTAACAGGAGATAACTGATAACTGACATACATTAGACATGTCATGTGGAACTAGAACTGTGTACCCCAATGAGAGAAATAAAGGGTTCAGTAAGATGAGGACAATAGTCCAAATAATGTAACTAGTGTAGTAGGACTTGTATTAGTAAATCATTCTCCCTCCACAAAAAATTCTTATATTCTAAAAATATTTTCTGGTCCTAAATAACCTACAAAAGATTTATAGGCCTTAAAAAAGAATAAATCATCTAGCCAGTCCTATCTATCTTTTAGTGTCTAATTTTTAACAATGTATTTCGGTACAATTTACAAGTATATAAGTACATCTAAGTGTAGGCTATGAATTTCTTATCCGATGATGTGCATGTATATACAGTGATAGATTCATTGATGGCAGTTATAAAAAAAAAAAAAGAAGCTAATTACAACCCATCTTCCCCCACTTTCTCCTTGTCTCCTCCCATTCCATAGCCTGAAAAACTGTCATCAACTGTCTCTGATTCTAAATAAATATAATATACCTGTTTCTTTTGCTTAGATGTAGTTGTGGGTAACCTTTTCATTGTGTAATTCTCTCCTGCTGTTATTCTGTTCCTTGGGTGTGTCCCTGAACTCTAAAATCTCTGTTAATCTGCTCGTAAAAATAGGATAAATTCATGGTCAGCCTTGTTGTGCACTTAATGACAAGGTTTTAATCAGGTATGGTTGTTGGCTTGTCATATTTAAAGTGCTAATTGTCAGGTGAGCTTAAAAACAAAAATGGATTCAATCTGCCTCTTTATCATTTAATATGCCTTCAGGACAAAGCTATTTAGAAATTGTCATCAGAATGTCTTCTTCTCCTCAAGATTATCTTCATCATAATTGTTTGTAGATTAAGTGGGGGTTGAAAGTGGACAGTCAGACCCACTGAAATTTCTAGTAATTGCTTCTACTGTCTGTTTTTTTTCTCTCTCTCTCTCTCTCTCATTTCCACCCTCTCTTTCTTACCTCCTTTTTCTGTCTCTCTCTTTCTTCCCATCTTTCTCTTTCTGTCTCTGTCTTTCTTCCCATCTTTCTCTTTCTGTCTCTGTCTTTCTTCCCATCTTTCTCTTTCTGTCTCTGTCTTTCTTCCCATCTTTCTCTTTCTGTCTCTGTCTTTCTTCCCATCTTTCTCTTTCTGTCTCTGTCTTTCTTCCCATCTTTCTCTTTCTGTCTCTGTCTTTCTTCCCATCTTTCTCTTTCTGTCTCTGTCTTTCTTCCCATCTTTCTCTTTCTGTCTCTGTCTTTCTTCCCATCTTTCTCTTTCTGTCTCTCTCTTTCTTCCCATCTTTCTCTTTCTGTCTCTCTCCCTTTCTGTCTCTCTCTCCCTTTCTGTCTCTCTCTCCCTTTCTGTCTCTCTCTCCCTTTCTGTCTCTCTCTCCCTTTCTGTCTCTCTCTCCCTTTCTGTCTCTCTCTTTCTGTCTCTTTCTTTCTGTCTCTTTCTTTCTTTCTGTGTCTCTCCCTTTCTGTGTCTTTCTTTCTTTCTGTGTCTCTCCCTTTCTGTCTCTTTCTTTCTTTCTGTGTCTCTCCCTTTCTGTCTCTTTCTTTCTTTCTGTGTCTCTCCCTTTCTGTCTCTTTCTTTCTTTCTGTGTCTCTCCCTTTCTGTCTCTTTCTTTCTTGCTGTGTCTCTCCCTTTCTGTCTCTTTCTTCCTTGCTGTGTCTCTCCCTTTCTGTCTCTTTCTTCCTTGCTGTGTCTCTGTCTCTCTCTCTCTCTCTCTCTCAAATGTATAGATTTTAGCCCTGAATTTACAACCATGCTTTTTACATGTGCAATATACATCACTCATTCACTCAAGACGTGATAGTTTCCACTGAGTTCTGTACATATCTTTAAGTCTACCATTTGCTCATGCTTAGAATATTGCTGCCACATAGTCCAGAGACCCAGCTATTTACCTTGACCTCTTTGATAAGATCCAAAAAAGAATCTGCAATATTATTGGTCATGATCTAGAAGCTCGGTTCAGTCACTTTCCCACCACCATAAGGTTGCCTTTCTGCCTTTTTTATAAATAATTTCATGGCAATTGTTTGGATGATCTATTTGATATGATACAAAATTTTTTTAAAATTTTTTTTATTTAAGTGCAAAATACTAAACTAGAGTCTAGATCTCAACAATTTACAGTTAAGTGCGATGGGTAAATTATCGCCATTTTATATTTTTAATTTTGTGCATGTGTATTTATATAGTAGGATTAATTAGGTACTGTCTGTGAGAAAAAGAGCACCATGACACAATTCACTCTGCCAGAAATTTGGAAACGGCTTGCTGTACTGCTTGGCATTCACACTGGAAACTCCAATATGAATATTTCAGTGTTTGGGTGTCAATCTGAGGACAGAGTAGAGGATTCAAAAAGAGTTGGATGAGTCTCATGGTGATTATGAAGGTACAATAGCTTGGAAAACTCACTTTAATCATTCTGATAAGAAAAGAACTCCTGAATTTGTTTGTGAGGGCCTCAGACTCAACATGGAGGCCTACGTCAAGTGCCTTGAGGGGAGTAGTGCTGCCCTGGGTTAAGAGGGTGGCTAATGGAAGATCTTATGTCTGGCAACAAGACTCTGCACCATGCTACACAAGCAGGAGAACCCAGTCATAGCTGTCAGATAATTTCTGCAACCACATCACCCCTTATATCTGGCCACCTGACTCCCCAGACTCCAATAATTTTGATTATTATGTGTGGGGTGCAGTTGAGCAAGAGGCCAACAAAACTCCTTGTAACACCAAAGATGAACTGAATGCAAGGATTATGGCAAAATTCACCAACTTAAAGGAGACAATCCAGAAGAGTTGCAGGTGATTCCAAAGTTGTCTGGAGGCTGTAGTTGAAGCCAATGGCAATTTTATACTCTTTAGTATTTCAAGATAGTTTTGTGTAATTTTTGTAAATATATTTGTTAAAATGAAATGTCAATGTTGTTTTCATGTTTGCATAATTTAAACAATTTATCCATCATAACATACATATATATATATATATATATATATATATATATATATATATATATATATATATATATAGATATATAGTGTGTGTGTATGCAGCAGTTCTTCATTGAAACATGTTCTATGAAATAGAATATCTATTAATCCTTTTTTCAGGCAAAAAATGAAACTTATTGACCATGCTAAATTAATCTCCTTTTAAACAATTTCTTATAAAGGCTTATCTTATATCAAATGAACATTTGGTAACTGCACTATTTTAATTACACCATTAATGATCAACTAAAATTGATTTTACTGACAATTAATCATGGTAACATCCATGAAAATCCTGATTTACATGAGTACAAAAATACTATTAGCTTATTTCACTGACACCAGATGCACTCCACTTACATAACAGATGAAAAATATGATCCATAGTCTGATAACTCCTGCAGACTAAAAATTGGCTCAGTATTTGTCAAATACTACAAACTCAAAAATTTCTATCTGATCTTTACCCTCACTCCCAATAAAAAAACAAATACACACACTTTGCAAAAGGCTAGTATTGAAAACCAATTTTCTCATCCTTTTGTAGGCTCTGTTGATGGCAAAAGAAAATCATCAGAGCTGTTTCAACTTTGAAGACATATGGTAAATTAATGTAATTTTTCATTTTCATTACTTGACTTAAGGCCATATCACATTGAAATACTGGTTCTTGTACAATCAGTTAAGCAATATTGATTATGGTCAGTAGCTAGGTGGGTGAACATTTGAGATTACTAAGTACTGTAAGCTTGGATCTGCAAGTGGTGTAATGGATAATGGCCATATCACATTGAAATACTCGTTCTTGTACAATCACCAAAGATACTTAAAATATTTTTAAAAAATGCTTGTAAATAATCAATATCCAATTAAAGAGGTTCATGGGATATTTTCTTAATATTTCAATGATTTTTTGCATCATCTTCAGTACATTATAAATGCTAATAACTTTCTCTGTATATTTACAGTGTAACCTGGATATAAGAGAGTTGTCGGGACTGGAGAAGAAGTCTCTTATATCCGGGTTTCTCTTATATCCGGGTTTCTCTTATATCCGGGTTTGGTCTATTTTATATACATTAACACAGGCTCTAATTTGGGACCAGAGAAAATCTCTCTTATATCCGGGTTTCTCTTATATCCAGGTTTCTCTTATATCCGGGTTACACTGTACTTGATTTTGCTTCTATACCTCTTCATTTAATAAAATTGTTTCTTTTTGTTGCCTTTGAATCAATCAAAACAATGAAGTTCTGTTTTGGTTATGTTAATGGGGGTGGGGTGTAAGGCAAGAACCGGTTATTTCTAATTAGTATCTCCCTCATTATAAGAGACCCTAATGACTGCATCTTTTTCAAAGGGAGATAACTGCCACTTGCATTCCTACAGTATATTTTCTCATGTTACTGTATGTGAGCCCTAGAAATAAACTGCTTTATGGCCATGTCATGTTAAAACACTGGTTCTTATAGAATCAGTTAAGTAATATCGATCCTGGTCAGTAGCTAGATGGGTGACCATTTTAGATTACCAAGTGCTTAGATCTGCAAGTGGTGTAATGGATAATGGCTATAACACATTGAAACACCAGTTCTCAGATGATCACCAAAGTTAAGCAACATCGAGCCTAGTCAATACCTAGATGAGTATCCACTTGGGATTACCAGGTGATGTAAGCTTGCTTGTGTTAGGGATATAATGAATAATATTCATGTCCTGTTGAAAGACCTGTTGTCATACGATCATTGAAGATAACTTCCCCTTGTGACTTCATCTTGCCCAAGGGGAGATAACTGTTCTTTGTATCCCTACAATGTATTTTCTCATTTTACTCTGTTAGAGACTCCTAGAAACAAACCAGCTTATGACCATATTACATTAAAACACTCAGTTAAGCAATATCAAGCCTGGTCAGTACCTAGATGGGTAACCACTCTGCAATACCATGTGCTGTAAGCTTGGCTATGTGGGTGGTTCACTAGATAACAGCTCAGAATTGGAAATTTAGTCAAGTTCTGTTATATTCCCTTATGCACAAATTCTATTGGGGAAGGTATGAATCCAACTCTTCTCCCCCCAGATATGGGTTAATTAGTAGGTTATCTCCAAAAAATTCTTACACTCAAAAATATTTTCTGACAAATAACCTAGAAAAGGTTGGTAAGTTGTAAAAAAGAAAAAGTAAATCAATCAGCATGGCTATTTCTTTTTGAACATGCCCGTCTGTCTGGGCTCATTTGCATTTCTTCAAAACCCACAGAGCCAACCTGTGCTTCATACTGTGACTATACTGACCAGACTTTAGTTAAAGTTCAAATATATGCCCCATCAGGGCTACAGTTTTGAACTCAGAATTTTCCTTCTCCTGTAGTGGTTATCAACCATGGTTAGAGAGTTCCGTTTGCTCTGCTATTTTTAACCCATATCATGTTGAAATACATTTATACTTTTATCAAAGGATATTTATTTAAAGGTGAATGTTAATAATCACAAGTGGGATGTGAACTCTGCTTGTTGAATTCTTTTCAAAGCTTCCATCCCACCAATGCACAAGAACACGTTATTGTTGAATCTATTTAAAACTTCACTTCCAGTATTGAAAATATTGTTAATTTATTTATTTCATTGTTAGATCTTTAAATACTTCAGATTTTTTGATTTTTTTAAATTTATTATATGATGTGTGCTTTACAAGTTATTGCAAAGTAAAACATTCACAAAGTGGCAAGATAACCTGCAGGATACAATAGTAGTTGGGTGTTCTACATATGAATTTGATTCTTCTGTAATATAGTGGATGCAATTCCTCAGTGAGTGTGAGAATTCATAGATAACTAGTTTTATTTATTTATTTTTGTTTTCTTTTAAGGGTTGCTGTTATTAAATTTTGTTTTTAAATGTTACATATTTATTTATCACATTCAACTGGAGATATAATGATTTTCTAAGCTCAGATGTGGCACAAAGCCAAAAGTATGGGGTACCTAATGAGGATTGAACTCACTATTCAGTTGTAATAGTTCTAGCAAGACAAGCTTGCTAACCATTACACCACATTGATGTGCCTCATCAACTGATGTGGTAGACCAGCTGTCATCCAAGGCTAGAGAACCTGGTCCATTCTGCTATTTACCCATAGCTGGGGGAAGTGGATCCATACCATTCCCAAGGGTATTAGCATGTACATTTACATTATACATACTCTATTCTCTGAATAATGCTTACCTTCATTCCTGACCACTGACAATCCCTCTCTTCCTCATTTTCAATGCGTTCCTATAGTAAAATCATTAGTAATTAGTCAGTTATGTATGATACATGCTTAGACAATCATGTATCTTTTGATACATGACTGATGAGGGAGATTTTCTCCTGCAGTAGGTTGCCATTTCTTTCTGCAGTAGACCAGTTGCCACCCAAGGCTATAGAACCCGGTCTGCCCTGCTATTTACCCATAGCTGGGGGAGAAGAGGAGGATTCTTACTTTTCCCAACAGTGTTAGCATGTAAGTGAATATAATGGATTTGACCAGAATTTGAACTCGGTTCTCCGATTCCTCAATTCGAGCCACTATCCATTACTCCATCTTGCCTCTTCCTTTCAGTCAGGCACACCTGCTTAAAAGCTGATTTTTGACAGTCTACTATCTGAGCTGGACATTTTTTCACTGTCTGAAAAAGAAAATGAGAATTTACAATCAAACATGTTTTCCATCTAAAATATCACTAAGTTCTTGACTGACCCACTCCTAAAAACATTGACTGGCCCACACCTCAAAAAAAACAAACACACAAAAAATACAGATTAGAC